TTGAGGAAGCTTCAGGGCAGGTCACTCCTGCCAATGCCCGAATGTGCTTGTATCAGGGCAGGTTGGTCTGACGAGGGCCCGAGAATAGCCCTCAGATTCAGGCTAAAAAGGCTCAGGCCTTTTTTTTAGGCTGAAACGATGCAGGGCCTGTGGGCCCCGGATGTCAGGCTTTTGGGCTGAACCGTCATGGGGCCTGTAGGCCCCGAAATAGCCCTCTGTTTTAGGCTGAAAAGGCTCAGGCCTATATTTGGCTGAAACGATGCAGGGTCTGTGGGCCCCAGATGTCAGGCTTTTAGGCTGAACCGTCATGGGGTCTGCAGGCCCGGAAATAACCCTCAGTTTCAGGCTGAAAAGGCTCAGGCCTTTTTTGGCCGAAACGATGCAGGGCCTGTGGGCCCTGGATGTCAGGCTTTTAGGGTGAACCGTCATGGGGTCTGCAGACCCGGAAATAACCCTCAGTTTCAGGCTGAAAAGGCTTAGGCCTTTTTTGGCTGAAACGATGCAGGGCCTGTCGGCCCTGGATGTCAGGCTTTTGGGGTGAACCGTCATGGGGTCTGCAGACCCTTATTTCCAGGCCTTGAGCCCGAAATTGTGGCTTCCAGTCTGAACGATGCAGGGCCTTGAAAATGACCCTCCTGTACAGGCGCAACATGTAACACCCCCCCCTCCTTATGAAGTCAAGCCGGGTCGAGGGCGCAACCAACGATTTGAAGGTGGAACGTGGACGCGGTTGCGGCGTGGAGCCGAAGATACCGGCTTGCCTTGCATCTTTCGTTCAAACCGTACGAGAACATCTGGAGCTGTCGCTTGGAGTTCCGCACGGGTCAACCAGCGGTCGGCTCGGTGGGTGCAATACGCAAAGTGTACTAGATACTCGGTCGGCTTGTTGCCGTAGCGTCGCTGGAAAATGATGTGACCGACCTCTTGAAAGTCGTCCATAGAGGGTGGGTCTTGCGATCTTCGCCCATGAAAGTCATCCTGGTCTGCTGGTGTGTACAACGCCAACTTGGAGCAATGGAAAACCGGGTAGACGGGCAAGTGGGCGGGCACCTGAACTGTGAAGGAAGGTCCCTAAGGTGCATCCCCAGCAGGTGCTACAAGCGGCCATGGCCCCATCCATTTCGGGAGGAGCTTGCAAGAGATATCCTGCTCAAGGCTGAATTCCGCGGCGGAAACCCACACGAGGTTGCCGCCGCGGAATGGACAAGGAAGACGCTGGCGATTGGCCTGCTGGCTCATGCGTTGCTGCGTCTTTGCCATCTGATTGCGTGCCTTGACAAAAAGCTCTTGCATCCGACGCAAGAAAAGAAAATGTTCGTCGCTCTCGGCCGTGCGTGGAACGATGGTGTCCAACGGAGAAGTGACCGGAGAGCCATGCTCAAACTCGAAAGGCGACATCCCAATAGCCGGGTGGATGGACGAATTGTAGGCCAATTCGACATCCGGCAGCCGCTCAACCCAATCCTTCTGATCGGGACGGATAAGAGTGCGAAGGAGAACTTGTGCCGTCTGGTGCGCCCTCTCCGTCTGGCCATCCGTCCGAGGGTGGCGAGCTGAACTAGGCTTGAGAGATGAGCCCCATCGTTTGGTGAGGGTCAACAAAAAATCAGACATGAACCGAGTGTCGCGGTCGCAGACGATTTCCTTAGGGTAACCCTTGGTTTTAATCCAACCGGCGTAGAGAACCTCGGCCAACTCTGGTGCCTTGGCATGATAGCGACAAGGCAAAAACATGGCAAACTTGGTGAGTCGATCGACTACCATGAGAATCCCATCCACACCGGTCTTGTGCTTGGGGAATGGCCCAGTGATATCCATGGCAATCGCCTCCCGTCGGCGCAAGGGAACCGGTAGTGGTCGCAACTCGCCATACGGACGATGATTGCGGGATTTGCAACGTCGGCAAATCTCGCATGACTCGCAGTAGCGTGTGACGTCATCGAGAAGACCGGGCCACCAAAATCGCTCGCGAAGTCGGCCAATCGTTCGATTGACGCCAAAATGTCCGGTGGCGGGAGCATCGTGGAACTCGCCAAGAAGTCGTGTACGCAAGTGAGGGTCACTCGGTACGCACATAAGATCCTTCCCCCGCGAGTGGACAAGCAAATATCCCTCCTGGATCCGATAGTGAGAAGGTGCCGGATTGGGCGAGGAACAATTTGCGTACTTGTCGCGAAACTCGGGGTCGGCCAGGTAGCCGCGGATAAAATTGTCCCGCAAGTCGTTATCAATCTTGAAAGTCGAGTAGACGGCGGTGCAATGGTCTGGACGTCGTGAAAGAGCATCCGCAAAACGGTTTGACTTGCCCGGAATGTGATCGAGGAAGAAGTCAAACTGGTCAATGAAGGCCATCCACCGGGCAATGGTGTTGTTGACTGTGTCCTGCGTCTTGTAAAAGACCAACGGATTGTTGTCCGTTACCCATCGAAATTGCCGTCTACCAAGAAGGAAATGCCGCCAACGCTTGAGTGCGTGTACGAAGGCTAATAATTCCTTCTTCCTCGCGTCATCAATAGAGTGCACGGCGGGCACCTTCTTGCTGAAATACTCGACCGGGTGCCAGTCCACGCCATCGTGTTGCTCGAGGACAGCGCCAATACCATAGCCGGACACATCAGTAGTGACGCGTGTGGGCAATAGCGGGTCGTAGATTCGCAAGACCTCCGCTGACAAAAGTGCAGCTTTGAGAGCCAAGAAAGATTCCCGCGCATCCTCATCGAAGTCAAACGGCCGATCCTCGCATTGAAGCTTGGTCAAGTGGGCCGCGATCTTCGAATAACCCTTGATGAAGCGCTGATAGTAGCCGGCAAGACCAAGAAACGAACGGGCGTCCGTGACGTTACGCGGCTCCGGCCACTCCTGGATGGCTTGAATTTTCTCCGATAGCGGGCTGATGCCCTCTGGTGTGACAAAATGGCCCAAGTACTCAAGCTCTTGCCGGACAAACTCGCACTTGTCGCGGTTGGCTTGGTACTTGGCATGGCGGATCATCTCCAACACATGTCGAAGATGCTCAAGATGGTCCTCCAGAGTCCGGCTGTAGATTAGAATGTCGTCTAGGTAGACCAACACGAACCGATCCAACATAGCACGAAACTCGTGGGTCATGGCTGCCTGGAAGGTTGCCGGGGCATTGGTGAGGCCAAAAGGCATGACCACCCACTAAAAATGCCCATACCGTGTCTTGAATGCGGTCTTGTAGCAATCATTCAGGCGTATCGAAATCTAATGATACCCCGACTTCAAGTCCAACTTGGAAAAGAACTTAGCACCGCTTAGTCGCTCAAGAAGATCGTCGATACGAGGAAGAGGCCTCGCATTTTTCACAGTTTGCGCGTTGAGCTTGCGGTAGTCAATGCACAGATGTAGATCCTTGTTCTTCTTCCTTACGAAGAGAACTGGTGCTCCATATGGGGAGCTGCTAGGGCGGATCCAGCCCTTGGCCAACAAGTCGTCGAGTTGTGCGCGAAGGACCTCTAGTTCCTCCTCGCTTATCCGATAGATGCAGCCTTTCGGCGGCACGGCACCGGCCTCAAGAATGATCTCGTGAGAGATCGGCCGATCCGGCACCACACCGGTAGGTGACTCGAAGATGTCGGCGAACTCATCAAGCAGCCGTACCACGCGGGGGTCCGAAGACAAGTCCGATGGTGAAGAGTCGGCTACCGCGCTAGTCCGCAAGAAACATAGGCCTATCTCTTCGGGTTGCTCATATGCACATGTACTTCGGAACGATTTGGCCGTCACGACTTGGCACCGGATCGAAGGGTGCGGAAGAGGAATAGTACACAGCACCTTGGCGCCGAAGGCGTCGCGAACGGTGAGAGTCCGCTGGTGAAAGTTGACCGTGTGATCTGCACTTGCAAGCCAAGGCATTCCTAGAATGATATCGAAGTTCGTGTCCAAGATGTCGAACGTGACTGGTTCGCATGCATGAGGTGCGAAGTACACCGGTACGGCCTCGATGTAACGGTCGAAAAGTTGCTGCGTCTTTCCATCCGCCAACTTGATCGCCGTCAGGTTTGCCTTCCTCTGAACCTGCGCGCCGAGGCCAGCCCTTTGCATAAAAGCTTGACTCATGAAGTTGCGAGTCGCGCCGCTATCCAGCAAAGCGCTGCAGGATGCCTGCCCAACGTGGATGCGGACATACACCAGCGGTGCATTATTGTCGTCGTACTGCTGCGTGCGAAACTTGCGGGCCACCTTGGTAACATATGCAAAGATGTCCCCCACCGCGACCTCGTCATCCGTCGGCGAAGTTGGTGGTGCATAGAAGGACACGTACTTGTGAAGATGGGCACAGAGTGCTGCGCATTGCGGTCCCGGTAAGCGGTCCGTGGTCGGGAGAGGAAGCCATGCGAAATCCCCAGACTTGAGCGGGTCCAATTCCTCTATGTTGAACCCACGCGCCGAATCCCTTGAAGAACCACTTGAAGACGAAGAAGAACCGTTGCCGGACGGAGAAGATGCCGCACACACGTCTTGTCCTTGAGCAAAAGATCCCAACGCCGGAACCAGCCGGGCAGCATAGTTCTTAAAAGAATAGAGAAGAGGACTGTCGACTTCCGCATGCGCCCCAGAATGAAGGCCGGTCACTCGCGAAGAAACCCGTTCCGAAGGCGTCGAGAGTGTCGTCGACAAACTCTCGACGGCGCTCAGTTTCCCTGCTTGCCCTTCCCCTTGGTAGGGCAGCCCGCTGTCTCGTGGCAGTCGCTGTTGCACCACAGGCAGTAACAGTACTTCGTGCATTGCTTGTAAGCTTGCTCCGAAAGACCATAGGGGGTCCAGGGCTCCTGAGCTGCTGCATCGGGCCCGGGGTTTGATGTGGTGTTTGTCTTCGATTTGCTGCGTCCTCGGCCTCGGCCGGGGCGGCCACCATCCCGGGCAGCTGCGAGTCTGTCTCCTTCATTGGCAGACTCCGCCTCGCTAGATTGGTTGCTTGGCGATGCTGCCGCAACCACGGCCACCTTGGGCCGATGCTGGTCCTTGCTCGGGCCTGCCGCAGCACGAGTGAGGTTCTTCGCCTCCTTGTTCGTGATAATAGTCTGTGCGGCCTTGTCGAACAGTTGCGCCGTCGTTGTCAATTGTCCTCGACATGCATCAAGGCGTTGCTCAACGCCGGGCACGGCCTCGAAATGAAGTAGTGCTTGATAGCTTTGAAGCCCATCGGGAGACCTGGGACGGATGTCAAGCGTTGGTACTCGGCAATCCTATCGACGCTTGGCAGCGAGCCTTGCTCGAAGGTTATGAGCTTGTCCATGGCCTTGATCTCCGGCGGCTCCACTTGGAACCGCTTGTGCCACGCCGCCTTGAGGTCTTCCAAGCTGATCTTCGTGTGTAACTCAGCAGCGACCACCCCGTACTGGGACAAGAGATTGTCCAGCCATGCCTGGCATGCGCCTCCCGACCGGGAGTATAAGTACGCGTGGTGCTTGCATTCGCTGACGAGGTGCAGCTGCAACGTGAGTTCAAACTTGCGGAACCACTGAACTGGATCCGTCTTTGTTGAATCGCAGAAGATCTCCTGACCGTCAAACTTGGGAATTGACTCGCGCTGTCCCGAACTCGAGCACAGACCCGCTGCTCCAATTGTTGAGTAGCGGTTTGTTGTAGTCGTGCGCCGTCCTTGAGTGTGCAGACGTCAGTCTCCAATGCGTCCAGGCGGTCAGATGTGTTGGAGGAGCTTGCCACAGGGGCGGCGGCTAGTCGTTGCTCCAGCTGCTGTACGCGGCTGCGAACACTCTTGACTTCGGCATCGAGGCTGTGAATGTCCTCCTGCTGCGCGATGCATGTCGCCAGGAGGTCCGTGAGATGGGAGAGGAGGAGGGCAATCTTGGTCTCGCTCTCCTCCATCTTCCCTGTCTCCGCCTCAGTTCGCCATTCCGCTGCCAATGTGAGTAATGCTTTCTCCCCGCTCAAAATCTGCTCACGCCGCTTCAATCGTTCTTCATCTGCAGCCTTCGCTGCTGCCTCGGCCTGCAGACGCTGTTGTTCAAGAGCTAGCAGTCGTGCCTACTCGGCATCCTCCGCCTTCTTCTTCTCTGCGGCTGCTACTGCATCCGCCCCCTGCTTGGCTTCTATGATCAAAGCCAGTATGCGGTCCTAATATGCCTCCACCGTTTCCCCCGGTTTCTGGTCCATGATGGCTGTCTGCGAGCGCGTCAGCATAAACAGGCCCGGGTGGCTGACGTGGCACTCCCTGTTGACGTGGCCTGCTGATGTGGTCCGCTGATGTGGTCTGCTGACGTGGCCCGCTCACGTGGCAACTTATCAATGCCACCACAGGGAATACCCGGAATGGATGAAGAAGATGAGATCAGAGATGGCAAACAACGTAGATAGGGAGGGTGGGTGGGGTAGATCGCCCAGATAAGGAGCCGCTAATCAAAACAGAAAAGGTTGAACTTTGCAAAAAATAAATAAAAGTCTGAAGGGACGAAGAGAAAAAAAAAAATTTGTTTGCAAGTTCAGCAAGCTCCCCCAATCCCCGAAGTACGAAATACAACTGAAAAAAAATCGACTTCCGGACTGCAAATGATTACAAAAAAATTTGGATTTGCTTTAATGAGAGTATGCGCAGCTTGAAAAGTAGTATTGCCAGAGAGATTTCCCGTACCGTTTTGAAAAAAAATGAACTTCGAAAAAAATGTTCCGAGTTTTTTAAGGATGGAAAACTGCAAAATCCAGATTTTCAAAAAGAGATATTCTGGATTTCTAACAGCAAAATTTCGACAAAACAACAGAAATTTTTAGAGTTGAGCTACTGCGATTTTTCCATAATCAGAAATAACGGAAAAACGAAATTCAGAAAAAAGAAAAACTTTGATTTTTGGCAGTTGGGTCAAAATCGTGATTTTGGGGATTAACTAGTGTGCTCAACCAACCAATAAGTCAGTCGAGTCTTCTTCACCAGCTAACTCCCCGTACACGTGTCAGATCAAGTAGTCCTGATTCACGTGCGGTGCTCCGGTACCAACTGTTACATGCCCAGTCGGGCACTGAGAGTTCAGCCAAGGATCCGCATTATGATGAAAAGGACTGAATGGACAGTGGACTGCTAACGTAATATCAACAGACAGTGTACATCCCGATACATGAACAATGGCATTTAATAACACAGCAGAAGACTTGGAGATAAGTCCTGACCTGACCTGGACTGTTATGACATCCCATCATACATCACACATGTGAGAGGGAGGGAAGGGACCGCATACATAGACGAAGGTCCCCCTGCATACACGCACATGGGAAGATACCATGGATGAGAGATGGAGGGGGGGAAGGAAGGACGAAGATGGAGGCAAGGGAGAAGACTAAAATCGCAATAGCGAAGTTCAAAATAGTCCCTTGCCAAAGTCCAACCAAATGTCTGCCCAAAATTGTCGAACCAGATCCTGGGCCGATGCCCGTGACAACCCCTACCTGTAGCCCTGCAAGTAAACCACTCTCACTCTCGTAGGCTGCCGAAGCAGTGAAGTCAGATGGTGAGAGGGTAGGAGAGAGATGGTGGACTGAGAGGAGGAAGAGGAAGAACTCTCTCTCTCTCTTCTGGATGCTAGGTACT